TCAGAGGGGCGTGGTCTTCTGGTGGCTGTCCTCCAGAGGGGCTTGGTCTTCTGGTGGCTGTCCTCCAGAGGGGGGGTGGCTGTAATGGCTGGTGGCTTGAGGGGCGGTGGCTGTCCTCCAGAGGGCTTGGTCCTGTCTGCGTGGCTGGTGCTCCAGAGGGGCGTGGTCTTCTGGTGGCTGTGGTCTTCTGGTGGCTGTCTTCCAGAGGGGCGTGGTCTTCTGGTGGCTGTCTTCCAGAGGGGCGAGGTCTTCTGGTGGCTGTCTTCCAGAGGGGCGTGGTCTTCTGGTGGCTGTCTTCCAGAGGGGCGTGGAGCTGTCTTCCGGGCATGTCTTCCAGAGGGGCGAGGTCTTCTGGTGGCTGTCTTCCAGAGGGGCGAGGTCTTCTGGTGGCTGTCTTCCAGAGGGGCGTGGTCTTCTGGTGGCTGTCTTGGTCTTCTCTTCTTCCAGAGGGCGTGGTCCTCTGCGTGGTCTTCTGCCTTCAGAGGGGCGTGGTCTTCTGGTGCTGTCTTCCAGAGGGCGTGGTGCTGGTCTTCTGGTGGCTGTCTTCCAGAGGGGCGTGGTCTTCTGGTGGCTGTCTTCCAGAGGGGCAGGTCTTTGTGGCTGTCTTCCAGGGGGGTGTCTTCTGGTGGCTGCCTTCCAGAGGGGCGAGGTCTTCTGGTGGCTGTCTTCCAGAGGGGCGTGGTCTTCTGGTGGCTGTCTTCCAGAGGGGCGTGGTCTTCTGGTTGCTGTCTTCAGAGGGGCTGGTCTGTCTGAGGGCGTGGTCTTCTGGTGCTGTCCTCCAGAGGGCGAGGGGCGTGGTCTTCTGGTGGCTGTTCCTCCAGAGGGGCGTTGGCCTTTCGTGGCTGTCCTTCCAGAGGGGCGCTGGTCTTCCGGTGGCTGTCTTTCCAGAGGGGCGCTTGGTCTTCTGGTGGCTGTCTTCCAGAGGGGCTGTCTCCAGAGGGGCGTGGTCTTTCTGCGTGGCTGTCTGCGTGCGCTGTCTTCCAGAGGGGGCGTGGTCTTCTGGTGGCCTGTCCTCCAGAGGGCGTGGTCTTCTGGTGGCTGTCTCCAGAGGGGCGTGGTCTTCCGGTGGCTGTCTTCCAGAGGGGCGAGGTCTTCTGGTGGCTTGTACTGTCTTCCAGACGGGGCGAGGTTCTTTGGTGGCTGTCTTCCGAGGGGCGAGGCCTGTCTTCCAGAGGGGCGTGGTCTTCTGGTGGCTGTCCTCCAGAGGGGCGTGGTCTTCTGGTGGCTGTCTTCCAGAGGGGCGTGGTCTTCTGGTGGCTGTCTTCCAGAGGGGCGAGGCCGTCTTGGCTGGGGCTGTCTTCCAGAGAGGCCGATGTCTTCTGCGTGGACTGTCTTCCAGAGAGTGGTCTTCTGCGCGCTGTCTTCCAGAGGGGCGAGGTCTTCTGTGGCTGTCCAGGGGGCTCCAAGGGGCGTGGTCTTCTGGTGGTCCAGAGGCGAAGTCTTGTCTGGTCTGTCTTCCAGAGCGGCGTGGTCTTTCTGGCTGTCCAGCAGCGGCGATTGTCTTCTGATGGCTGCTCTTCCAGAGGGCGAGGTCTTTTGCGCCGCTGGCTGTCTTCCAGAGGGCGAGGTCTCCTTTCTGGTGGCTTCGTGGGTCTTCTGGGTGGCTGTCTTCCAGAGGGGGCGTGGTCTTCTGGGTGGCTGTCTTCCAGAGGGCTTGAGTCTTCTCGTGGCTGTCTTCCAGAGGGGCGTGGTCCTTCTGGTGGCTGTTCTGGTCCTGTCTTCCAGAGAGGCGAGGTCGGAGGTCTTCTGGTGGCTGTCCTCCAGAGGGGTTGGTCTTCTTTGGGTGGCTGTCCTCCAGAGAGGGCGAGGTCTTCTGTGGCTGTCTCCAGAGGGCGCGTGCCGTCTTCTGTGTGGCTGTCTTCCAGAGGGGGAGGGCTGTCTTCCAAGCCAGGGCGAGGTCTTCTGGTGCTGTCTTGTCTTCTGGGTGTCTTCCAGGGGCGAGGGGGCTGAGCGTCTTTCTGGGTGCGCTGTCAGAGGGGCTTGTCTTCCGGTCTTCCAGAGAGGCAGGTCTTCTGGTGGCTGTCTTCCAGGGGCGCGTGGGTCTTCTGGTGGCTGTCTGGTGGTCTTCTGGTGGCTGCCTCCAGAGGGGCGAGGTCTTCTGCGCTGGCTGTCTTCCAAGTGCGGGCGTGGTCTTCTGGTGGCTGTCCCCAGAGGGGCTTGGTCTTCTGGTGGGCTGGTCTTTCCAGTATGGGGCGAGTCTTTCTGGTGGCTGTCCTCCAGAGGGGCGGGTCTTCTGGTGCGAGGTCTTCTGTCTGGCTGGTGTCTTCCAGAGGGGCGTGGCTGTCTGTCTGGTCTTGGTGGCTGTCTCTCCAGAGGGGCGTGTCTTCTGGTGGCTGTCTCGAGAGGGCGTGGTCTTCTGGTGGCTGTCTCCAGGAGGGGCGTGTCTTCTGGTGGCTGTCTTCCAGAGGGGCGCGGTCTTCTGGTGGCTGTCTTCCAGAGGGGCGTGGTCTTCTGGGTCTGTCTTCAGAGGGGTGGTCTTCTGGTGGCTGTCTTCCAGAGGGGGCTTCTGGTCTTCTGGTGGCTGTCTTCCAGAGTTCTTTCTGCGTGGCTGTCCTCCAGAGGTCTTCTGAGTGGCTGCCTCCAGTGGGGCGTGGTCTTCCGGTGGCTGTCTTCCGAGGGGCGAGGGTCTTCCGGTGGCTGTCTTCCAGAGGGGCGTGGTCTTCCGGTGGCTGTCTTCCAGAGGGGCTTGGTCTTCTGGTGGCTGTCTTCCAGAGGGGCTGGTGGCTGTCTTTCCAGAGGGGGCGAGGTGCTTCTGGTGGGCTGTCCTCGTGGTCCTTCTGGTGGCTGTCCTCCAGAGGGGGTCTTTTCTGGTGGCTGTCTTCCAGAGGGGCGTGGTCTTCTGGTGGCTGTCTTCCAGAGGGCGCTGAGGTGTGGTTCTTCTGGTGGCTGTCTTCCAGAGGGGGGCGTGGTTCCTTCTGGTCGGCTGTCTTTCCAGAGGGGCAGAGGGCGGAGGTCTTCTGGTGGCTGTCTTCCAGAGGGGCGAGGTCTTCTGGTGGCTGTCTTTCAGAGGCGGGGCGTGGGTCTCTGGTGGCTAGTCCTCCAGAGGGGCGAGTCTTTCTGGTGGGCGTGGGCCTGTCTTCCAGAGGGGCGAGGTCTTCTGGTGGCATGTTCCCGACACTCTGCGTCTTCGCGTGGTCTTCTGGTGGCTTAAGAGGGCGTGGTCTTCTGTGGCTGTCTCTCCAGAGGGGTGGTCTTCTGGTGGTGTCTTCCAGGGGGTGGTCAATGTCCTTCCTGAGAGGCAGCGGAGGTCTTCTGGTGGCTGTCTTCCAGAGGGGCGTGGTGCTTCTGGCTGCTGGCATCTTCCAGAGGGCGTGTCTTCGGGGTCTTCTGGTCTTCTGGTGGCTGTCCTCCAGAGGGGCGTGGTCTTCTGGTGGCTGTCTTCCAGAGGGGCGTGGTCTTCTGGTGGCTGTCTTCCAGAGGGCGAGGGTCTTCCGGTGGCTGTCCAGAGGGGTTCTTCTGGTGGCTGTCTTCCAGAGGGGCTTGGTCTTCTGGTGGCTGTCTTTCCAGAGGGCGTGGTCGGTCTGGTGGCTGTCTCCAGAGGGGCGTCTGGTCTTCAGGGTGGTCTTCTGTCTTTCCAGGGGCGAGGTCTTTGGTGGCTGTCTTCCAGAGGGGCGAGGTCTTGGTGGCTGTCTTCCAGAGGGGCGGGTCTTCTGGTGGGTCTTCTTCTGGTGGCTGTCTCTCCAGAGGGCGTGGTCCTGGTCTTCTGGTGGCTGGTCTTCCAGAGGGGAGGTCTTCTGGTGGCTGTTCCTCCAGAGGGGCGAGGTCTCTGGTCTGTCTCCAGATGGGGTGGTCTTTTGGTGGCTGTCTTCCAGAGGGGCAGGTGGTGGTGGCTGTCTTCCAGAGGGGGGGTGTGGGTCTTCTCTGTCGTGTGGCTGTCTTCCAGAGGGGCGTGGTCTTCTGGCGCTGCTGTCTTCCAGAGGGGCGAGGTCTTCTGGTGGCTGTCCTTCCAGTAGGCCTCTGGCTGGTCGTCTTGGTGGCTGTCTTCGGTGTGGCTGTCTTCCAGGGGCGCTAGCTCTTCTGGGCGCTGTCCTCAAGAGGTGCGAGGGTCTTCTGGTGGCTGTCCTCCAGAGGGGTCTTCTGGTGGTGTCTTCACTATGGGGCAACTAAATATTCGAGATGTAAGTATCGACACACAACCCCACTGAATTGCAACAAAAATATTCATCACCCGTCATCTATTGGCAACCGAGAAATATATATATATATATATATATATATATATATATATATATATATATATATATATTATATATATATATATATATATATATATATACCCAGAGCGAAGAATTACTCTTCGTAGTCTTAATCAGTTCTTTCATTAATCGAGAAGATATACCATCCACTATCGCCAATAAATTACCCCTTTCATTTAAAAAATATCAAACATTAAAAAAACATCCGTTGGAAAAAAAAAAAAAAACTTTAACATTAAAAAATAACATGCATTAAAAAAACATGAAAAACATTATCATTAGGAAAAAAAAAAATCAATATAAATATTAACTAGAAAAAAAACATTCATTAGAAAAAGAAACATTAAACATTAAAAAAAAATCACCGAAAAAGATTAAACAGTAAAAAACATTAACTAGAAAAAAAACATTATAAAACATTCAATTAGAAAAAACACAAACACTAAAAATAATTCTTAAAAAAACATTAGACATTAAAATAATCTTTAAAAAAATACATTAAAAACATTCTCTACAAAAAAACATATATATATATATATATATATATATATATATATATATATATATAATATATATATATATATAATATAATATATATATATATATATATATAATATATATATATATATATATATATAATATATATATATATATATATATATATATATATATATATATATATATATATATATAATATATATATACGTGCATACACACACATGTATATATATCTGTATACATATACATATATATATGTGTGTGTGCGTGTGGAAATTCTCTCACTCTTAAAAAAAAAAAAAAAAAAAAACATTCCTCAGAAAAAAAAAATTAAACATAAAAAAAAAATATCCACAACAAAACAAAAAACAAACAATTACTACCATACCACCCTACCACACCCACATTACGTACAAGCAGCAAGCAAGCACTCCCCACCACCCCCCCTACCCCTTCCCCACCCCCTCTCCCCCTCGCCCCCCCCCACCCCCTCCCCCTTCGCCCCCCCCCCCCCCCCCCATCCAACCCAACCCTCCTAGCTACCCATCCTCAAGGCTAGCAGTCCCAACCCCTGGACGTGTGGCTCTGATTGTAACTATGTGTTTCAGATGGATAATGATCACAATCGGAGAGCAAACTGTGTGATTTCAGATAAAGCGAGCCAGGGACTCAACTGGTCATTAAACGGGTAATTTGATCGTCCGAGACATTGGTCGTTGGTGTGTGTGTGTGCGTGCGTGTGTGTGCGTGTGTGTGTGTGTGTGTGTGTGTGTGTGTGGTGTGTGTGTGTGTGTGTGTGTGTGTGTGCGTGTTTGTGTGTGTTTGTTCGGGAAGGAGGTTGGGGGTTTTCGTGTTTTTTGGTTTTTGTTTTTGTTGTTTTTGTTCGGTAAGGAAGATGGGGAGAGAGTGGATGAGTGAGGAGGAGGAGGAGGAGGAGGAAGAGGAGAAAAAGAAGGATAAGAGGAGAGAAGGAAAAGAGGAAGAGGAAGAAGAAGAAGAGAAGAAGGAGAAGAGAGAGAGAGAGAGAGAGAGAGAGAGAGAGAGAGAGAGAGAGAGAGAGAGAGAGAGAGAGAGAGAGAGAGAGAGAGAGAGAGAGAGAAGAGATAGATAGAGAGAAGAAGAGAGAGAGAAGAGAGAGAGAGAGAGAGAGAGAGGAGAGAGAGGGAAGAGAGAGGAGAGAGAGAGAGAGTAAGAGAGAGAGAGGGAGAGAGAGAGTGAGAGAGAGAGAGAGAGAGAGAGAGAGAGAGGAGAGAGAGAGAGAAGAGAGAGAGAGAGAGAGAGAGAGAGAGAGAGAGAGAAGAGAGAGAGAGGAGAGAGAGAGAGAGAGAGAGAGAGAGAGACAGAGACAAAGAGAGAATGAGAGAAAGAGATACAGAGAGATAGAAAGAAAGAGAGAGAAAGAGATACAGAGAGATAGAAAGACAGAGAAAGAGAGAGAGAGACAGAGAGAACGCGAAGCCAAAACGAAAATCCAATCTCAATAATTTTGGTCCCTGTTCAGTATTATCTCCAATAAGCTTTTAGCAATGCATCCATGAACTTTTTACATAACGAAATTATCTGTTGAGAATTCCCCCAGCGGAGAAGCCATAATAACGACTAAACATAACAGACAGACAAAAATTAGATACACTCCAGAACTAATTACACGGAACTTTAAAATCCACGCTGACTCAAGAAATCTGTTTTTTATTTCTGCTCTTACTTCTTATTCCCTTTATCATGTATGTGTATTTTATCTTATTTTCTTATTTATTTCTCTCTTTCTGTTCTTTATCTACCTATCTATGGATTCGCTTTTCTATTTATTTAGTTGTTTGTTTGGATATTTATGGATCAATTGATAAATTCTCTTATATATTCAGTTATACATCTATTTACCTTTTCATTTATTTACATATATAATCAACGATGACACAAGAAATTTATTTATCTTTATTTTTCTTATTTATCTTTGTCTTTATTTGCACTTCCATGATTTTTAATAATCTGTTTAATTAAATTGCTAATATCTGTATTTTAGTTCATTCATCTATATCTGTCCATGGTTTTATTTGTTTACGGATCTTTAAAATGCAGTTAGTTTTTGTTTTTTTTCTTATATTTTTTCGATTAATCAATGAATTTACTTAGAAATTTCATCTTACATAAATTCATCTATTATTTATTATTTACTTACTTACTTTTACATTCACAGAGGGTTATTTGCAACACTACGTCCCGTTTTCTTTAAAGTTAAAGAAAACGGGAATCCTCTATTGCTGAGGATTATTTATAATAAGCCATCCCGTTTTCTTTAAAGTTATAGAAAACGGGAATCCTCTATTGCTGAGGATTATTTGCAATAAGCCATCCCGTTTTCTTTAAAGTTATAGAAAACGGGAATCCTCTATTGCTGAGGATTATTTGCAATAAGCCATCCCGTTTTCTTTAAAAGTTAAGAAAACGGGAATCCTCTATTACTGAGGATTATTTGCAATAAGCCATCCCGTTTTCTTTAAAGTTATAGAAAACGGGAATCCTCTATTACTGAGGATTAATTGCAATAAGCCATCCCGTTTTCTTTAAAGTTATAGAAAACGAGAATCCTCTAATGCTGTTGATTATTGCTTCCAATACTCTGTCCCGTTTTTTTAAGGCTTAAAAAAACTGGGAAAGCCTATCTAGGGGAGATTATTTGTAATACTCCCGTTTTCTTTAAGTTATAGAAAAATGAAGGAGGAGGGAGAGGGAGAAAAGAGGGGACGGGAGCTGAAACAGAAGGGGGAAGGGGAAACTAAAGAGAAAAGAGACTTGGGCAAAGGGAAGGAAAAGCATCCCAGTCAAGCGCCGGTTTTGGGCCACTCCTGTGTGGGTTGCAGCAGGATGGTTGCAGAGTTATACGTTGGAATTTGATTATATTAAAGTAGATCCTATTCTGATCTTTCTACTGATCTCTCTTGTTTTTTTTTTTACAGATAAAGGGGAGAGAGGAAAGAAAGGAGAGAAGAGAGAGAGAGAGATGTGTGTGTGTAGTGTGATGTGTGTGGTGTGTGGAGAGAGAGAGAGAGAGAGAGAGAGAGAGAGAGAGAGAGAGAGAGAGAGAGAGAGAGAAGAGAGAAGAAGAGAAGAGAAGAGAGAGAGAGAGAGAGAGAGAGAGAAGAGAGAGAGAGAGAGAGAGAGAGAGAGAGAAGGTAAAGAGAAGAGAGAGAGAGAGAGAGGAGAGAGAGAGAGAGAGAGGAGAGAGAGAGAGAGAGAGGAGTTACCATATGGACGGTGGAATATATTAGATAATGCAAGTGTTTTCCGTCTGTGTAATTTGAATAGCTTTGGTAATAATGATCATATTAATGATATTAATCATGATGATAATGTTATAACCAACACACACACCACACATACACCCACAACACTCACACACACACACACACACACTCACACACATCATTATTATCGTTATTGTTATTTTTATAATTATCATTATCTTTGCCATTGTTATTGTAATAGTTATAGTCATTATCGTTATCATTATCATCACCATTATCATTATCATTATTAATACTTATTATGATTATTCTGCTTGAATTTCGTCCGTTCATTTTTTGCTTTGATTATTATTAATTAATTTGCTGCTTTAATTATTATTAATTAATTTTCTGCTTTAATTATTATTTAATTACGAGGCAAGTACACACAGCATGGAAGTAGTAAGACCACCAGTTTGTGAACATTTCTTATTTCCACAATTCTCTGAAGGGAAAAGTTAAGAAAGTAGGAGGGGCTGGGGAAAGGAAGGGAGAGAAGAGAGGGGAAGAGAGGGACTCAGAGAAGGGGGGAAAGAGAGGAGAGAGGGAGGAAAGGAGGGGGGGAAGGAAAGAGGACTCAGAGAAGAGGGGGAGGAGGGAAAGGAGGGGAAAGGGGATGAGAGGGGATTCAGAGAAGAAAGGGGAAGAGAGGGGACTCAGAGAAGAAAGAGGAGGAGGGAGAGGGAGAAAAGGAAGGGAGGGGAATGGACTCGAAGAAAGAAAGGGAGAGAGGGGGACTCAGAGAAGAGAAGAGGGAGAGGGGAGGAGGGAGGAGAGAAGAGGAAAGGGAAGAGAGGGGATCAGAGAAGAAGAGAGGAGGAGGGAGGAGGGAGGAAAGAGGAGGGGGGGAAAGGAAGGGGAAAAGAGAGGGGACTCAGAGGAGAAAGGGGAAGAGAGGGGACTCAGAGAAGAAAGGGGAAGAGAGGGAGAAAAGGAGGGGAAAGGGGACTGAAATAGAAAAGGGGGGAGGAAAGAGGGATGAGAAAAGAGGAGGGGAAAGTTCGAAGAGAAGGGAATGGGAGAGGGGAGAAAGGGAATTAAGGCATGGGAGAAGGTGAAAGAGAAAGGAGGTGGGAAGGGGCAGATATGAGCCTTAGAGTAGGAGTGAAAGAGG